CTTATTTAGTCAGGACAATCAGGCACAATACTAGCACACCTCTTGCGCGAAATTAAGAATTACACTCCCTGAAACAAGCACTGTTACGTGGATGGGATAGCCCCGATTTCGGATGACCATGAAATCCTCATCCCTGCAGGTTGTGCCATCCACTTCAATATGAAGTGCAAGTTGAACTGTCTCCTTGGGTATGCAAATGTCCTCGAAGGAAAGGCTGTGATGATCTGAAATGCGCTTCGAAGCAATCAACATCCCCTACAGGCCTGTTTGACCTCATTTTAGAGGAGTTGATCATGCAGAAACACTTCTCAGTGTGGTAAAGGATCAGATGTCCTTCTCTGACTTGGTCCATTGTGTCATTCTTTTTGAGGGGAACTCACTGTGTTCAATGATTTCAATCAGAGCTTTTGTTCAGCAGTTTTGTCCCACTGTACACCTGAGTCACGCTCTGTTTTTATCGTAAGGAGGTAGGGCGCCCGCATGGGCTCCAACCAAGCAGGGGACCGCGTACAGTAAGGCTTTTCAGGTCTTTCTTGCTGTGTCCATGCGAACTGCCTACACAGGGTTTGTTTGGTTCAACAGGCTTCAAAGGGTCAAACGATGTTCCTTCGAACTTGCAGAGTAGATGCTGGATGAAGGCGATGAAAACGGGACAGAAGATGACGAATCGCAGGGGCATAGGCGGCATGTGCTTATCTTCCTTTTTGGAGCAGCACCCATGCCAAGTCTTACAGCTGCACGTGACAGCAAGGGAGTTCATCCACCTCCGGTGGCCTCGGTGCCTGCATGTGTTTCAGTTCCAAATGTGATCATGGATTTGGCCAGGTGTTCGACCCTTTACATTTACATCCACCAAATGGATTGTATAGTAATTTGGTGTCTGAGCCAAAGTATTGAAGTACATTTGGTCTTCTACATGGATCTGCTCTGAGTCCCCTTTCCCATTGGCCAATTTTTTCGGACTCCTTGGATACAGTAGTTTGCCTGGAGTCTTGATCTGCATGCTTCGCAATTGTTCCACCCTGCAGCGCCCGCAGCCTTCAAGTTTCCAGTGGCTAAACGTTGAAGGACTCGTGCGAAGAGCTTTCTCCTGAGGTGCTTTCTCTATTGATTGGAGTTTTCTGCAGCATCTGCGCAGTTTCGCTTTCTCAGGGAAAGAACGTACAGGAAAGAACAGACCTGAATGGACCTTCGGATGCTTTTTAAGTGTTGACAAGGGCATGGATGTTCAATTGCCAGGAGTGTTTGTTACTTCAGCGCAAAATAGAGCTGGCAGGACCTCCGATTCCTTGCGCGCCGCCTGAAATAAGAAGTAACATCATGGCATTCTGGAAACCTTTGGTATCCATGCATAGAATAATACCTGTAATTTAGTATATTGTATGCAACACTCACACACACAAATACAGTACAGTAAGTAATGTACGAGTTTCTAGAATCAACTATCATCAAGTCACATGCCTTGGAGATGCCCTTTCCTTCTCCTCAGGAACGCCGGTCTCGGGCCGCTCTCCTGGGGCCGCTCTCCGTGCTCTCTGAAGCCTGGCGGTTCGTGGCCGGTGTGACACGGGAGATGTGAAGCCTGACGGTTCGCATGCGGTCACTGACCTCTGAAGGCAAAGTCAAACAAAACATGAAAAAAATACGCTGTGTTTTTCATCTTCCTTCCCTTCGGACACCATCCCCCCCAATCCAAGCACCTCGGCTCGCGCAGCCTATGCCCCGCACATCCCCAACCAAGTGGTGCGGGCAGGGGTTGCGAAACAATCCTTTTCAAGCGTACATTCGAAACATGCTCTGCAAACCTCGTTGATAGGTCGATTTGGCTCATATATTTTGAGGCCTAACCCAAGGTGCCAATTAGGTGGAGAGCAGGGGCCCGACGGAGTCGGGGCAAGGACATCAAGGACCCTCTGTATACTTCTCCTTCCTGGGGCTGGAGTGGGGGCTACTGCGTGCCCAAGCCGTTTTGGCTAAGTCTCGCTATCCTTTCTTGCCAGTTGTCCAGGTGTGAGGTGACAGTATTTATGAAAGCTTAATTAATGAAACCCCTTGCATACGCCTACGTTCCACATTAAGTATTCCAGACCCTCAAGCCTCATCATGTCCTTCAGGCATTTTGAGAATGCCGGACTTTTCTCGATCTGGTCACAGCTCTGTGGGCAACCCAAACTGACAAACCACACCATAACGACCCCCCCCCAAACAGCCAGCATTCCATGTTTCTTCCTGTCTTTCATTCCGCATCTGCCTTCTTCGTTTCTCTGCTCCTGAACTATGACTTTGGGGCTGTTTATCGATCCTGAGACAGCCTGGGTTATTGAATTATACTGACTCCCTGGCAATCACAGCAAAATTGATGCGAACATCCTCAATCCCCCCAGTATACTGCCAGTATACCTCCCCCAAAAAAGTGCAAGGAACCACAAGAAAGCAAGGAACCACACAATTCCAGCCGCTTCAAAACTCCTTATATGTCTCGTTATGTCTTAAGATCCTTAAGAAAGCTTATAAAAGCAGGTACCTCTCGAGCCAGTGAAAAGTCTTGCCAAACCTCTCCAGCCAGTGAAGTGAAAGTCGCCTCCAGCTCCTCAGGAGCGTCGGACAAGGCCCAGGGGCACATCCTGGGTGCACCGATCGAACTGTGAACCTCTCCGAAACCGGACTGCGGGACTGCGGGACCGGGTTCACCCGGAGCTTCTTTCAACTGTAACGAAAAGTGAGGCAAGAATTCACTGATCAACCAAACAGGTGAAGAAGCCGAGCCAAAGTGTGAGCTCAAATCGCAAAGTTTGGTAAACAAAAATCTGAGGAGGTGCGTGTTGCGAGGCTTTTGGTGCAGGTCGTGGAGGGGCTCTGCGCTTTCGGGTGGATCCATCCAGCTACAGCTGATCGAGCGGATCGGGTCCATCCGGCCGACGGAAGAATTCAAATTCACCACGGAACAACCGGCATTGTTGGAATCTATCCAATTCATCACTCTTTTGTTGGAGAAGGACGGAGTAAGGCATCTCTTTGTCTGTGAGGTTGATGGAAGCTGTGCAAAAGTGGCATGGAGTACTCTGACAACATGTGGGAGGTGTTGAATATTTACATACCTGCAACTCTGTGACATGTCTGTCTCTTGGACAGCTTTGTGGATGTAAAGGACAGCATGTTGAATAATGTGTATATATATATATATACACAAAACATTACAACACATATATACATATACACATCAGTCTGAAACATTTAGTTAAAGAACAGCTTGTTGAATAAAATGAATGAAGGTGAAACATTCTGAACAATGGCTAAGGACGGCATCTTGAATCAAATAAACAGGTGAAACCTGTTGAAGGTCTTGTTCTTGTTGAGCGATGTCTTAGTCTCCCTCTCTGCCTTCGTGCCGGGGTGCAGGAGCAATTGCTCGGTACACAGCGCTAAGCGTAGGCCGTCGCTGCGGTCCTGCAAACGCGCCTGGCAGCTGGTCTTTCGTGTGGAAAACAACGATCCAGTCATGCAAAGTAGGTGGTGTGGGTCCTGTAGCTACATCAAAAAGGAAGCCGTTCTCTTTTATTGGTAATTGCATGTTGGAGTCGAAAAGGAGCAAACATGACAGAAAATATTGCCTTGCACACTTTCGATATGACTATTCTATGATATTCTCCAAAACAAGAGGCTACTCCACCTGCATCTTCCTCCTGTTCCACCGTTTTTGTTCGTCCTATACTACCCGAATCGCCTGCGAATTGCTCCGACCCCGCCTGGATCGGGGGCGCTTCCACCAAGGCACAGCACTCCTGAAGGATCGAGCGACCTGACGGCGGGCGGACACCGAGGGTCATCGGCGGAAACCGATGCCGAAAGAACCGGTGAAAATCTGAGAGATGCGAAGACGTTGCTTGTTTATGCTTTTTGTTCTCGTTGGTGGAAGGGAAGGTCCTTCCCGGACGAAAACACTATGACTGGGACTTCGCGTTCTTGAGGCCAGTGCAATGAACAAATGGTGGACCTATCTTGAAGCCACTACAACATTCATCACCGATCCAAAATCCATCCACAACCGTTTTTTGTCCACAAATCTCCTCACAAAGCAGTGGCAAATCCAACGAAACCTCCATGCTGTGGCTGCTCTCAAAAGCACCAGTTCCTCAACCAACACTTCAGCTCCCGTCACCACCAGCTCCATCACCACCTCCAAGTATGCATTGATGTTTTCTCACGTGAAAACACACATCAATTCCCAACCTCGCCCAGAGGGGGTGAAGGGCGTTTCGAACAGAAGAACACGCAGAAAGTAAGGGCAGCCTCCGAAGACTCAGGCGCCTGTGGGGTGCCACTTGGCCAGCAAAGCAATCGCCTTAATTCGGAATTGGAAGATCCACTCGACGAAGGCCGAACATCGTCGAGCGGCCGAACACTCGTGTCTGGGGGATGGGTCAACAAAAAAACAGGACAAAGTGTATGAGCACCTTCCAAGGAGTTACCCTTGGAAGACCCTGCACTACTTACGGATCTCCATTGGGCACCACTTGAAGTTCCAGGTATGAAATGTGCTAAAGCTAATATATTAAACCGTTAAATCCTTTAAACATGGACGTGAGTCGTTTCTATCTTATTTGATCAACCTCCCAACATTTGGGTGTTCGTCCAGCTTAAGATTTCCACCAAGATCCACATATACTCTCTGAGGTGACCGGTACTTTGGGATTCCCACGGACCGTTTCTCTTTCCGTGCACGGTCCGTTTCTCCTTCCACGAATGGTCTCGTTCTTTCTGACGGCCAGTGGATCCAACGGAACACATGGGAACACGATGGGAAATGTTAAGCACCAAGCACCATCCGACTCTGGGTGTGGACTCCTCGGCGTCGACAGATTATCTAAACATTTAAGCTCGGATGGTCCTGTTTTCAGATGTACAATTTCTACCGACCTTCTAGGTTGGGGTCAAACCAGAAGCCAGGGTTTCTACGGATTTGGGTCCTTGCTACTGCGAGTGCTTCTTTTTCCTTTTCGGTGAAATCCATTGGATCCTCTCAATTCCCGCGCTCCTTCGGGTGTTGTTTTTGTTTGCCGCGTTTCGGCGAAGCGGCGAAGCAGCAGCAGTTGTGCGGCGTGGCTCCCAAACTCGATGGTGCCTGGTTTACTCGATGGTACTGTACAAGGACCAATCAAATTCATTCCAATTCGATCTAAGCCTGGGTCTGACGGAAAATGACTGGATGTATGACTGGCATCCTTTGGCCAGAAATGCTCATGGGGTGCTTCCCACATTGATCAGTCTCATCGCTGGCCATGGGAGGTTCAGCACTCGAACAGGTGAAGCACGCGTCGTCGAGGGTGAGGCGACCATCTGTGGCACCGAAATGGAGAAGCCCAGTGGCCTGGAGTCAAAGTCCGCCGGTGGGTCCACATGCGGGGCCCCTGATCTTGTTGACATCCCAAACATAGAGGAGTTTGTTCGTTTTATAAGGTCAACCAGGGTTCCTGGGATTTGAGCCACTCCCATATAGAGCCTACACAAAGGTTGTTTTGGTGGGGTTGTCATAGCGTATACAGTATATCAATATAATGTTACATTCTGTCATTGCTTGGACGGAAACAACTTCAACAGTTCCAAGCTACAAACCCGAGCCTGTGTGAACGAATCACAATGCTTGGAGCATTCCAAGCTTCCCTTTCATGTCCCACCCACAATACAACAATCCAGTTTGTAACACTCCGGATTCATCTCAACCTGTCGTCACCCTGTCGTCACCCGTCACCCGCTGTCGTTCGCTGCTGCCGTCCTGGAAGGCGGTGGCATGGATCTTCGGTGTTGAAGGCTCAGCTGTGTTCGCGCGCGCTCGATCTGAGCACCTCAGGACGGCGATCGGAGCAAGGCGTCCGCAAGGCGCGCCCCTGCGCCCTCCTCGAGTGCTGTGTGCTTAAGCATGGCTTTTTTTGCAGGGCCCTTTGAACGAATGCCATGTGAATGGGGGGCGCATAAGAAATAATTGTAGGCGCAAATGGCCGGTTTTGCCGATGTCACATGTCAATCCAGCAGAATTATTTGACCGGACATCTCCTCACCCTCCTTTCCCTTCTCATGGCCACCTCTGAATTTGCTATCTTCAATCTGGTGATTTCGTCCACCCCGAACCCCGCATCCACATCTGGCTTCATCTCGATCATCCAGCTATTCTGGCCACATCTAGCCACTGTCCCGTCTAGCCTATAGTCATCTCCGTTCTCATGGCCTTTGGCCAAGTTTCGATTCATCTTCCGGGCGAGATCTTTTTCCAGGCTATCGATGTTGCGGGTGAATTGTTCGCGCAGCTTATGAAGCACCTCAAAGCCGTTCGTTTTAGGCGGGCGAAGGCATTGCCAAGTCCAATCCATGCCCCGTAGAACCTGGTCACCTCCTTGGATCCTTAAGTCGTGTTTTGGGACCAACTTCAGCGAGGTCTTTCACCGGAATCATGTCGACCCATGCTTACTCCCCTAAACGGTCGGAAGGAGGGATAGTAGATCAATATTGATCAATAATATACCGTAATGTAGACTCTTGATGAATAAATCCCTCCAATTGAATTGGAAACTCCTCTGCAAAGGAGAGGTTTATTTATCAAGAGTCTACATTATAATATCATGGCTGCAACCCCGTGGCAAAGAATTTGAAACCAACCATTTCGCCATGCTACACCTTCCAACCCGCCATGCAGGTGTGTAGAACACAGCTCAAGAAACGCCGTGGACCCTCAGAACAACGGATCCCGCCGTTTTCTCCTGCCGGCCGTATGCGAAGAGAAACCAAACACACAAAAGGGTCCGGACGTTTCACATATAAGGATGGTTTGGATTTCGGTACTGTATAGTCTGTATAGTTCTTTTCAGACATTCAAAACCAGAAAAAGGCCAATGGCAAACTCCACACCACTTTCGGAACAGGAACCACACATGTATGTTGCAAAAGCACTGCACATTGTCTACAAACAACATCTAAACATCTAAACATCTAAAACGAGTTGCATGACCCAAAATATATAGTATTGTTTAAGGATCTTAAAGGTGCCATGCCCCTTTCAATGTTCAATCCTCCAAATTCATTCGGAGCAGGTGGAAAGTCCGAATTCGGGCCTCCAAAGCATTAGTATGAAAATCACCAGTGCAGCATCTTTTGCCAAAAACAAACAGCGCAGCGCAGCGGCCTCGGAGATGGAATCGACTAGAAACTCGTTGATCTGTTCAAAGCCACCCTCCTGTCCTGGGCTCGAACAACACCATCAAAACCTCGATGAAACTCACCGCTCACAAGACACCGGTTTGCTCTGTGCTGCCAAAAGAGCATCTTTAAAGCTGCCCCCTATACAACTTGGTTCTGATCAAACATAATTTGTGCAGGGTCATATCCAAGCTCCTTGCTTCACCCCAAAGAACTACCTGTCAAGTCACCATCACCCGCCCTCCATACAAGAAAAGCCTCTCACAAGGTTGTCGATCATGTCTTTGTCACTTCGGTTGCTGGCCTCAGCAGCCTCCAGGTCCAATTTTGCAAGCTTGTTGCTCACCTGAATTGGCCGTCTTGGACCATCTCGTGGTTTCTTGGTTGGTTGGGTTTGGATTTGGTTGTTTTGGTTAGTCAGCTACACAAACTTGAGGGCACAATCTTGGGCAGTTCCCGAAGTGAAAGGGACCTCTCTGGTGGTTCTCACGCGGAAAGAAATGGAATGTAAGGGATAAGTCAAGTGCATGCATGGCGTTTCTCGGGGGTTTAATAGTTCCTTGCCCTTCTAAAGGTTGTTGAATATATATATATATATTATGTTATGTTTTAAAGTAAGCATCCATCACAGGTGTTCTCGATCTAGAGCTGAAGACAAAAGAATAGAAACAACACACACTGCGAAATGACTCGAGTGCCCATGTGGAGCAAAACCATGGCAAAAACCCTTAGAGGGCGACTCTGAACAAATACTTAGACAAAAAACTTTCCCCTAGACATGTTTTGCTTATAACTACAGCACATTCAATTGCCTGTCCTATTGAACATCGTGTTTATCAAATATTCTATCGGTTTGACCACCATGAAAACGACATCTCGGGTCCTCAACGTCAACGTGGCCCCGGTGCCCTTCAACACATGGAGACACTCGATGAGAATCAAGTTTTAAACAAATAATAATAAGCAAAAAAACTCTGCGCACGGTAAGCGGAAGACATTCTCAAGGATTCCTATTCTCAAACATATATATATATAATCATATACTGTATAGATTCCTACTCTCTGAACAGGAGCTTTAGACTCAAGAGACAATCTCATGAACTTGCCCAAGAGACATTCATGGCAAGGTCCAGGCTTCCCTTCCTGCGCAAAAACATGCTCTGTGGGGGCAACACTAGCAGCATTTACCTGCGAAAAGGTACCCATCCCCAATGACTGGGTCAGTCTGGGAGATGGTGCAAGTTGTGAGTTCTGCAAAGAGAACAAAGCTGTGCCGGAAAATATTTTTGCGAGATCGTGCCAGCCTGCCTCTGCGATCATGTCACATGCCTCTGACCACTTGGGGCCACACTGTGCTTTGGTTGCACATGTTTGCTTCAGCAGCTGTTCAAGTTATGAGGCAACACATCCGAGACTGCACTTCTGCGTCATGTGTTTCGAAGTCAAACCAGTCTACCAAAGAACCTCTGGCGGCTGGGTGGATGACCAGAGGGGTAAAAGAGGGAATGTCCCAGAAATTGAACCAGCCATACACTGAAAGAATGGGCCCTCTACAGAGAATGGTGTGTGCATTTGTGCCATGTACTCTGAAACGATGGGAACATCACCACTGCGCAGTCTACTCATGTCACATGCCAAAAGCAAAAATAGATTTCGAAGGACATTTGCAGTACAGAGTTTCCCGCAGATCTGAGGACAAGTGAAACTTGGGCCAGCCATGAGGGTACCATCCATTCACCTACTGAACAACGTCATGAGTCAGGAAACATCCATACCTATAACATTGTTGTTCTTTTTTTGAGCCCACCACCAAAAAACATCCTAAATGAGCACCCTCCTGTGCCCTCAAAGCAAGACAAAGCGATCCCCGATGTCGATGCCGAACGTCCCCAGCGATCCCAGCGTTTTCTCAATCCGTCAAGTCTCCCTGTGTTCATCGTGCCCAGCGGAGAACAAAGCCTCAAAGCGTGAATCGGCCTGGGGTCATTGAATCCCCAAAAGAATGAGCCAAAAGGGTCACAAGCTGGAAGAACATTTACAATCTATGCAACCTATTGGACTTTAGAAACGTTGACAATCTGTCTATTGTTTCATTTGATCCAAAACACCATGAACCAAGTAATCAACCAATCTAATCCTTGGTTCACGCTACACCATGCGATGTTTCCCAGTCAAAACAAGAGCATCTCTGGTTGGGTCCTCAAAACAATGGTGGTACATGCCTGGTGTACCTTAGTTCTCTGTAGTCAGGCAAAATATTATATATAATATGTATATTGTTATTATTGTATATTATATAGACCAAAACAACAACTGACCTGCAGCTTGTCGGTAGGAATCATGAGAGGACAATTGAAATTGGAGGCTTGAAGCTCTGGTGCATGGTTCGTCCACATACGTAACAACCGGATGCCTTTGAAAACAAACACTCCCAGTTTTGTGAATGTCTTTGAGACTGGATGTCATGCTAGGTGCAGGATCCTTCAGCATTTCTGTAGGGTGATCTCCCCACCGCCTAGTGGCAGTCAAAAGTGAATCTATAATATCGGTTTCGTTTCCCTTTCAACATAGTGAGAATGATTCTAGCCTTTTACCTTGGGGGAAGAACACCGAAAGTATGTCTGTTTGTGGATTGTATTTGATGTTTGATCGGTGCAGCATGGACTGTCCAACAGTGGGCACATGAGAGGAACTTTGGCAAATCCCCCTTTGGACATCGACTCAGACCCATACAAGCTGGGTCTATCCTATTACCTGTAGCAGTGGATTATGGTTAGTAGAGGCATTGTCCAAAAGTAGTGACTTGCTTGTTTACGGGTCCTGTTACAGCTAAGTTCGAACAGACCCAATCTGACGCTGCCCGCCACACGTCTGCCGTCGACATTCCGAACCGACGCCACGTGACATGAGGCCCTTGAAGTCATGGCTGCTGCCGCGCAGAAGCACCTCGATTGGTGATCGTCACAGATCGCCAGACCCTCCAGGGATCGTTCAGAATTTGAGGCGCACAAAGGTTCCAGTCGACATTCCTCCGAATATCCATTTGGTTCCAAAAATGGTTCATCATTTTGTGTGTCTTGCAAGAAACTTCCTTTTCCATCGTATTAAAGATGAATGGCATACCACGAGCTCAGGAAATACCACGAAGCACTCCGAGGCAAAAAAGACTCAACGGGTATTACAACCACTGGACCGGTCGGTGGTACATACCCCGAACATGAGAGAATGAGTAAGCGGACCTGAAGTAAACAATCCCTTTGCGCTAAAAGAGATGAAGGTCACATGAGTTCTTCACTGGAACAACCACAAACGTGGACAGCTCCAAAGGATTGCAAAAATAGGGCTCCATGCCCTATGTTGGGATGCAAACACAAAACTCTTTTGCTGATTCACATTGATCCACCCGTTTTTTTCCCAACAAACGTTTCAACATGTTTCAACCTTTCTTGGCCCAGGTTGTCCGTCCACAAATCGGTCGGGCCACCGTCTGCAAGAGCTCGAACAAGCACCAGGAGCGAGTCAACGGCATGGCTTCTTCATCAAAGACCATAACCGTGCCCAAGGTCCCCTGAGGGCGCATCAGGAGCGCGCATCAGGCGCACATGAGCCACTCTACAAAGATGGGTTTGGGATTGAGAGGCACGTGACAGGTAAAGGGCCTGACCAAAAAGGTTGGATTGATCGGAAGGTTTCGGAATCTGACTACAGCGGATCAACAATCCTTGCACATGCTTGACAAACTAGCTTGTCTTAATTTATTAGTACCTTGACTTTTTGACCACTTTTGGCTTTCCATGTTGATGAATGCGCTGCGACCTCATGTTTGTGCATCGTTTTCTTAGTCCAGAGTCCCCAAGGAACATGCTTGGTTTCACGCAGGACCCAGCTTCTCTCACACCACGAGGTTCCACTTCCCTGAAACCTCGGGAAAAACAAACGCCGGCCTTACCACGCAAAGCCTGGTAGAAGGAAGACTCCAAGTAGCTGTCACCAAGCTCCTGCAAAAAACAACTCTGGTGCGTGATGATTGGTTTGCTTCAGGTTCGATCCGCACGAAATGCATCGAAATCCCGGCCATGACTGTTACACCGGAAGCCCGCCGCTGGGCACCTTTCTCTGATCGACTCAATGGAATTGGATGGAATTGGTTAATCAATAATCCTATCGGTGAAAATGCAACGGATTCATATCAGTCTACTATGTTTGAGTCATAGGCCGGACTGCAGTCTTCAGACTGAAAGGCCACATATCCACGCAACGACCGGAAAATCCAAGCACGCGGTCGACCGCAAAAGCGGAACACACCGAAGCGCCTCGGAAACGGCCCACTGATTGTTGCTAAAGGTGCAAATCCTGAAGCAGCTGGAGCCACCAACCGTCTGAAGGATACTTCATTACCCGCAAGTGTTTTTGGCTCATGGATGGGTTGAGACGCCGACAAAAAGACATGAAACACAAGCTCACATTGCCGCAAAAAAAACAAATAGCAGTGGGTGCTCCAAACCAAGTGAGACCATAAACACACACAACAACAACAACAACAAAAAATGCGTTCTCTCATCGCCAGAAGATCCAGTAGGGATACTTCTCGGTGAAGTCAGTCGAACAGTCTTGTGAATGTCGTTCGACACTCGACACCAGATGTGCCTCGGGCGTTCCACTGGAACGGTTCCACGCCGTCCCCACGTCTCGAAGGCCGAAGCGGGAAACCTTCGAAGTGGACGGGGACCCCTAAACGTAGACGTACCTGAACAGGACCATTGACTGAACAGAGAGGCCTCTCAAAGAAACGGTTCACATCCGTGAACCCCGCATTTAGTGATGTACCAATAAGCTACGTATACTTTTTGAGGCCAAATGCAGGACCCGGGAAGTTGGACACATATGTCAACAAGAAGACAATCCTAAAGAAACAAACAGCGTATGTGGGAGATGGTCATGAGTCATGAGTCATGAGTCATGATGATTCATGAGACCTTTCCCAAGGCCTCAAGCTTGGGTTTGTTTTAATCCTTCCTAAATGTTCCGATTGGCTATCTCGTGATTGACCCTCCTCTAGTAGTCTGGACCTGTGACAAAGCCATGATGGACAACATGGATCCATCTGAGCAAAAGTATCTCTCAGAAGGCAGCTCGTGTAGTGAGGGTTCCTCGATCTGTGCGTTTGAGAGGGTTCCTCTGAGGTGGATCTTTGGCATTCCCCCTCCATTGCCCCCCGAAATATCAACGCAGCGACCCCCCTTCATCTGATTCAAGTGGCGAAGTCGGTGCCCCAATAGTGGCTCACGAACCATCGCCGGTGACACGTGGAAGGTCCAGCCACCTCCGCATAGGATAAGCGATAGGGCTCCGTGAGGGGCAGAATGATGTTGTGCACCACCTGAGTTCGACCCCAGAATCCCTGCTGTCCCCACGTACTCAGGATCTGAGCATCAGGAGCTGCTGAACCGGTGCATGCGGGTTAGCACGAGGAAGTGGTTTCAGTTGGGCATTTTGTGAGGGGTGGCACACAGTGTGTGGAACGAAGGTGGACAGATTTTGGAGCGGAAAAGGACATAGCTCTGGATCTCGAATCGGCACCTGGGAGATGGAAGCAGGGTGAGCATGTGCTGAACATCCACATGTGCTGAAGAGCATCTGGTTCCCATGTTTCTTTTGGGTTTGGGTTTCTGATAGGGTTTTTCACATGAGATCACAGCATGTGATTTGATGGTATTTGATTCCCGTCAAGGAAGACAACTTTTGCCAACCAGCCACATAGTAGGTCGTTCGATTGCCTGGCAGCGCATGGACTTCCGGAATGGAGAGCGTCCAATGGGTGCCCAAAAATTCAAACCCACATTGGAGTCTCATTCGATGGTTCTGGCAGGTATTCCAAAAACCCAGTAAAACCAGGTCTTTGACCTCATTGAGTAGTGTTTGAGTATGACCAACTCCACATGAGGTACCAACTCCACATGACCAAACAAGTGTTTTCTCTTGCAATGCCGGAAAGAACCGCCTCGACCGCCCAGCTGACACGAAACGTGCTGGAGGTTTGCAAAATATATCTCCAACTTTTTGGAGGCGAAACTCCACAAATTGTCATGTTTGTTGAGAAATCAGCGAGACATGGTTGGGAACGCATCCGAAGATCACCGAATCATCATGGGCCAACATGTATGGGTGTGAGTTCCACAAATATTTTGTCTCCAAAAGTTGAGAGAAAATCTCAATGGATTCAGAGTACAAAAGTGAAAGTAAGTGAGAGAAGTGAAGTGTAACCTTTTGCCAAATATATTTGTCATACAAGTATTTTCTCTCCTGCGATCACCCAATTATTGGGGTCCTAAAAGTCAAAGTGGCAACAAGAGCTATATAGTACTCATGCATATTAAGCTCATTTTCTGCTCATTTCATTCTCCGCTGATCGACAGGCTCCATTCCGACACCAGAGTTGGACACAAGACGTACATAGACCGACGTGGTCGAAGACGTTCGACAGTCCGTTCAGTCCCTCCGCTGGAAACGGATGTTTCGGCGAACAAAAGAAGTATAACACAACAGAAGACAACAAATGCCCCAATCAACCTCAAATCCCAGATAGGAAATGATAGGAAAAGTTCCCAGATAGGAGAAGTTGTGTAGAAAAAACAACAACCCGTAACCCATATCAAAAAAACTTGATGTGGCAATCCTCATCCACTCCCCTCGCGACGACTAGTTCGTTTCACCATGTTTCACCTACGATCGCCCGTGATGTCTCATAAGCCAGGCACTTCAGTGAGAATTTCTTCCACCAAGTGATCATATATATCATGTCAAAGCAAGTCAAACGTCACGAGTACCTATTTAAAAACGGACACCTATTAGAAAAAGGTCATGTCGGAAACCCCTAAATACGGCTTATATGTGTTTATATATTACAGCCCTTTCAAGCCGTTACTAAGCTACCAACATTGCCAACTTTGGAGTAGTCTTTTTAAGGTTCGAAAACAACCGTAACTGCCCACCTCTGTCCATCCACCATGACACGCCGCGTTTACACCAGCAGGCTTTCCTTCCCCCAATGGCACGGACTCACGCAAATGCACTTGCCACCGAGGTCACGCAAAACCGCATGGCACAGCGACATCACCTTTCGAAAGCTTTGGTTGTTAGTCTAATGAAGAACCACTATTCTAATAAAAGTGTTTGTAGGGAAAAAGGAAGACCTTCGATCTGGAGTTTTATCTAAAGTTTTCCTGGGTGACTTTTTGGTTTTGAAGCTCTTCCCGCGTGACCCCATTTTGGACCACCCCGATTTCAGGGACCCCCTATTTAAAAAAAGGCGACCGAGGTTTCCTTATTAGGGGGGGCCGCGTGTTTTTTAATAGCTGGACCGGATCAGTCAAATGAGATGTTCCCGAACGAAAGTACATGCAGTTTAGAACCTGGACCGCCAAAATCTCGCCATGGTCGCCTATGTGGTTCCGGAAGAAGTCCAGAAATCTCAGCAGTTGCTGCGGCTCAATCGCCCTTGCAGGACCCTTTTCACCTGAACTCGGTGCTCCGGGAGACCCCGTCAACGGACCCGTGCTACAGCCGAAACGCGGAGGACTTGAACCCCCCCTCAAAAAAGAGAGACACGACAACGGGACACTCGAAAGGCATTGGATGTCTAAGATATTTCTGAAATCTTCTGAATGTTTAATTGAGTCTTTTGGAGTCGAGTGAAGATGGATGGAATACTGCCACTCAAACACCAGCTATGTGTGTGTGCTCTTCCATGGCTTTCCTTCTCAAGTGGGATGCGCAAGCAGTGCCTTTCTTTAAAGGCATCTAGAAACGACACATCCAAAAAGAATCCCACATGTTGATGATATACCGCAATCTACAAGCTTTCGACTCTGAATGCACTGGTCTCAAACCACTCGCATCTCCTGCGCTCAGGCCGTGGGCCGACGGGTTCCAAGTCACAGGTCATGGGCCGAGGAAAGCGCCGCCGGAGCTGACGATCGAAGACCTGGACATCCTGCATGTGCCGACCGGACCGGTGTTGGGAGTGCCAAACACCGGCTGGTGCTCCAGGGGAGGTATATGCATTTACTGCCCCATGAAATGATAGATATAATTGATCACCATAGATCTATATAGTGAAAGCACCACTCTTGGGAATGAGCTCACTTCAAGTCCAGAGCGCCTTCGCTCCTCCCGCCTGAATGATCTGCGTTTGGGAAATGGTCTGCCAACGGAGCCAGTGTCCCAAGATCGCAATGGTCGCGCCCAAGGCCAGGTGAAAGACACACGCCAACATGGGGCGCTCGTACTGCTCCTTCGTTCGCGCCCCAACAAACAATTGAAAATCCGCTTTGTGGGTCGCTTCGACGGTTCCAAGTATCGATCCGAACCGTTCCCGAAGGTCGGCCCAACGTGGGCGTTCTCCGCAACCCCGATCGCACGCACCAAGGGGGTCCGAATCGGGCGCAAACGCATGGGCCGTCCGTATCGCGTCGCCTCGCCGGACGAGACGAACCACGCCCCGAAGGAGGTGGGGATGACGGGATCGAAGTGATCTGCACCGCATGGGGTTTTGGGGGCTGACAAAAATGGCCGGATCCACCTCAGTGAGGTGAAAACTAGCAGATTTTATGTCTGAGATGTTCCAAAATGAAAAAAACAAATTGTCAAACTTCTTCTGTGGGTCATTATGAGACATTGTCATCCTACGCTCCTTGGCAACGCTCAAAAAAGCTCGTCGGGGATGATCATCCCTTTTGGATGAGAAGATGGTGCGTTCGTGCTACATCGACCGATGCAGGTTGGGCATGACGGACTCACATCACCTTCCGTACAAGTAAGTCCGCATGCTCGGCTGTATGACAAATGAGAAGATGAGGAGAAGACCGAGACCTTCAAAAGTAGGTGAAGAACCCAGTGATCAACCCTTACCTAAACTGCCTATTTCACCCAGTGGCCAGTGGAGTTTGTCGTGAGATCAGCAGGGTTTCCGCAATGACGCTGGAAGAGCTCCCAAAGCTCGGGAGTGGAGAATGCGTGGTGGGCTTGCGTGACTCATCATGATTCCATGGCCATGTCAGCGAACCCCTCAGCTTGGGTGAAAGGATGCGCAAGGTGTTTTGATATGATGGACGGACATTAAGACAGAGATCTGAAGATTCGGGATCATGTCACATTGTCGGTATTCCTGACTTCTTCCCAACCTGGCAGTGTCCATCTTTAGAGGGCACCATCACTTTCAGTCCGACCAAAGGCCAGCTTCAGCTAGGCCCTTCATAGGATTTCATTTGTGTGCTCTCGGAAATCATCCAGGAGAGTTCATCTGAATCACATTTTCCACACTCCAGACCCTCGGGCACCTTGCGGATCCAGGGTCATGACCCGAGTGAAGCACCAGGTCTTTGGGTCAATGGCAAGACCGACCGCCCAACCCGCCGCGGACCGAGCACTGCTCTCTCTTCGGGTCCACCATCCACCTCTTCAGGACACCGGCACGCCCCGAGGTCCCGCGAGGTCCGGTCCCCAGTCACTTGTTTGGTCCAAAGCTCCCAAAAGATGGCCAAGAAGGCAATGTACAGCACAAACAGCAGCACCAACCTGGTTTTGAACATATGACGTGATGACCAAGTTCTGAACATATGAGATGAGAGGCGAGAACACAACAAAACATGTATGGAATGTTTACCTTCATGTGGGTGATTTCAGGGGTCAATGTAGACAATGATTAGTCATTACGATGATTATAACCATAATCATTACTGGTAATCGAAACAGTGATTGTGTGGGATTTCGTCACCTGTACAAAGTGGAGCCTATATACAAGTGAGTCCATCTTCAAATTCATGATGCAATACTGGCAATACTTATATTTCAAAAAGCTTGATGACCTTAAATTTAGCTGCCCAACCTCTTACGTAGGGAGTAGAGGGCTGTTACACAGCCATTCTTACTGCGATTGCTGCCCACCTTCTACGGCCCGCTTGGTCTGCGGCGCAAAAAAGACACAGTGCGGTGCATCCAGTGGAAGTAAGCACACGTCGAAAGCGATGTCCAGTTCCCAAAGGAAGGCTTCAGGGGTGGGGGGTACCTGTGTTCCTGTATATATCTGAGCATGCAGCATACATGTTCTATGTCCGACATTGGGATGATTTGGATTAGAGAAACCTGCTGGATTTCTGGCTGTTTTGGTGACATGTGGAAACTCTCTCGTAAAAAAGATGGGCGAATCTCAGTCTTGACTCTGGTTGGCGAATCACCATGATCTCGCACACACGATCTAGCATGCTTCTGAATAACAAAAGAAACAAACACAGCTCCCATCGGAGTCCGCTGGGGTCTTCCCCAAGGGGCTGACACCGCCGGGCGTCTTCCGCCAAGGCTCCACAAAGAGAAGGGCACACCTAAGACGCCTGTGAAGGCAATCGCATGGCGCCAGAACACCTCACGAGCCGCTCGAAGACGACGACGACGACGCGAGGAGGTTGGAGAGGACAAACATGAAAATGGCACGTCCTCTGTCTGGCCCACTAGAGAATCTTGGTCCTTCTGTACCTTAATTAAGTTTGTCTTTTTAATGTTTTTTTAGATGACCAACTCCATGCTAAATTGAGGTCTTTGACCTGAATTGAGGTCTTTGACCGGGAATGAGTTGACCTTTTGATTCAATACTGATTCTTATCGAAAGAACTGATGTTTGTCGGATCGCCACTCCAGCCCCACAATCCTATGTCATATGTCCTCCATCTCTGTCCAAGCCCACGCTACTGCGGACGTTCACCCGCCCACCTCGCCTGCACTTGCCCCGAGGAAGAAGCCATTGCCTCCACCACCGGTGAACGGCACTTGGCGGTGACCAATTCCACCTCCCGGCTGGTGTGCACCCGCGCGCGGTAGGCGTAGCCTCCGCGCGTGAAGCCATGGTCGACCGGTTGAGCTTTCAAAGGTTGTGCCAAAGGAAGAGACCTGGGACCAGTGGTTTCAACTTTAAACATGAGTCAGTGGGTGAAACATCATCCCAAGTAAAGGTTTCAAATACACATATCCGAAACCGCCACCGCCACCTAGAAAACTCTGCAGGCAGCTAATGTAGACTGTTGATTATAATTGAAACACACAGGAGGTTTTTAAATCCAAATGGGAGGGTTATTCATACATTATGGTGCCAGCTATTTTGGGTGGTTGAAGATGCCGAGAATGAACAATACCTCCATATGCAGGTCTTTCAGTCAAACAAAAAAGAGGACAAACAAATCCCTCTGGGACATTGGCCCTTGCAAGGCCAGGCTCTTTTGGTTACCTGGTTCTTCCAAAGACAATATCCGGACCCTCCAAGGTATTTCAGTCTTGGTGTACTTTTGACCAATATGGTCTCCTTTGAGCTGAGCTCACTAATGGAACAAGTCTTAAAGTCTCCAGTTTAACTTCCCCATTTGAAAGAACAACAGCGCGTTCAACGGCGCATCATTGGTCCACCCCGGAGGTATCGTGGTCATCGGCCCGACCTGCACGGTCCAGCTGTGGCACGCCAGTGCCCGTGAAACGCACTTTCACCGCCTTGTGCAGGATCCAATGCCTCAATGCTCACTGAATCCAGATTTCATGAAGTGACTCCGACTCGAGGGTCAAGTTGTGGGTTACATCGGAAGCAAGTTCAACGCCTGAATTCTTGACCTTGCTAGCTGTTCCATGTCGAGGTGCCTAACTTGGAGGATAGGGGTGCCCAGAACATCCACTCACCTAGGAAACAAAAGCCCTTCCTGAGATGCTTCACACGTGAAGAACGTTCTCAACTATTTGTTGGTTCAACACTTTTGCCTGCAAAATGCCGCAACACCTTCAATCCGTTCCATCTGGACATTCTGGCCCAATAGTTCAATAGTTGGAGTTGAGCAAGGAGAATCGTTCAAGTCATGAAGATCTGATTTAATTATATATAGACAAAATATAGACTGTGTATAGGACGTTTGAACTTTTGATGTGTGCAAAAACAATCCAACCAACAGCAATTGGAAGGCACGCCGACAGAGTCGTAAAACAACATGATTTCTGGCATTCAGGTTTTGAAGAGCTGGGTGCTGAGTTAGATAAGGTTTGCTCTCGCTAAATTCAAGAGATGGAAGCATCCCTCGACTAATTCTATGGGTTTTCACTCGATATGCAAATGTTCTTTTGCAAAGCTCCTTTTTATGCCAAACCCAAAAGAAAAAAGTACATAAAATCCACAAATAGTACTCAAACACACGCACATAGTACGCGAAAATCTGCAAAAGTATGCTCATCGGGATTTCTGTACTTTTGGCTTGTTGGTGCTTTTTGATTGTTCTCAGGAATTCATCGAGTTTCCATCACAAGACTAGAACTTCAGAGGGATTTCCCTGAGGGTGGTGGGTGCTATACGGCAAGAATCACCTCGTGTACAAACTGCTACTCAGCCTGTCACCCTTATTTTTTTTGAGCCGCTCAACTGTTCATTGATCGCACACTGGTTGGCACTTGGCACTGTGGCACACAATGCTTACAGGTGTTGTACTTGACTAGACCATTTAAAGTGTCATCAAAAAATGAAAAGGAGCTAGCGTTCAATTTGGAATTCCAATAATCAGTTAAGAAACGGCTTAATGGCTGAGGGTCCAGGTTCCTTTAAAACCTGCTGCTTCTCCGAACCGGTCGTTGGTCGTGTGAACAACACGGCTCCAGAACTCTGCACCCCGATTCACCGCCGGAGCAAGTGACGGCGCTGAGCAAACGGCCAAAAGGATTGACTTTGTGCAGCTTGGCCGGTTAAACCCACCATGCTTCCACCATATTCACATCAGGGGCATGATTGGCTATAGACCTCCAAAAAGTAAGAAAAAAACAAGATATCAAAACATACAAAAAACAAAAGCCCCTTTCAGAGTTGCGTGACCCAAGGACCAAATTGAGACCTGTTAGGGCCCAACAACCGTCAACTAACGATCTTTTTGGAGGGTACTGGTAGATATTTCTCACATGTTCTCGCATAGAAACATAAGTACCTGGAGTCTCAAAGTACCTCAGAAGGGGCCTGGGAAGAAAAGCTGCTTTTGTAGGGCCATGTCCCATTGTCTCTACGCCGGGTCCGTCAACCGGCGCCTGTTCGTGGTCACTCGCACCAGGCCATCTCGTCCCAGGGTGCGGCGGATGTCATGCACGATAAAGGGCATGCCACAGGCCAAGGGTATGAGGAAGATCATCAAGTTCCACCTGTGTTTTGTCGGAAAAGCAAAGGAAGCAAGACACCTCCGCCATGTGGTAGAAGTGCAGAATGACGCTCCCTTCGCACGAAAATATCTATCTTCATTAATTCCCTCCTTCTGCCAGTCACTCAGTGATCTATGCTTCCACCACCGGTTTGGAGGTCTGAGGGTGCCAAAGGGAGGAGACAAAAGGACCCTCTAAAGCCGCCCTGCTCTTGGCCTGTGGAAGTGTAAGGTTGTAACACAAAACCCCCTGAGAACTTGGATGAAGGGTCCTATCTTTCCCAACCTTACAGACCATCTGCTCCAGAGCGTTCAAAAAGGGAGATAGCACTTCTACAGGCTTTGTGTTTTCAAAGGAAGGAGAGTCAGCCTGGCTGGGGGTGCCCAGATCGACCCATCGACAAATATATCGGGTGGATCTGGGGCCATTCGCATTTCGTCATCCGAACTCTTGGCCATCCACGGGACGATCATCATGTTATGATTTCAGTGGTCTATGTAATCCCACGAAGCCCAAAGGCTGGATGAGATGATAGGCCTTTATACAAGAGCCGAGGGTGAGCGTCAGCCTCTTGCTCCCACCGCTTCCACCGCTCCCAACGGTGGACGAAGGGTTTTTCGCTGAAGGACCACCAGCTCTGGCTCGGCCACGTTGCTTTTCCGGGAAAAGACGGGGCCCCAAGTTCAATGACAACTGAGTTTAGCAATGAATGCGAAGCACCTACAAAGTGCGGTGTCTAAGCACATCACGACGGAAGTCAAGGCCGTGTCAATGAGTACAGCAGTTCCAACTCCATGATAACTTCCTTAACTATTCAATCACGATCAAACACATCCACTCTCCCCAAAACTATCCCAGCAGCTGCCACCGCAAGTGTAGTGTCCAACACTTCAATTCATGGCAGTGGACCAATAAGAACAGTGTCACCATGTGTCACCATAGAACGACGACTGCCCCCGGCTTGACGGCAAAAAAAACATCTCTCATAGAGGGCACAGCAGCACGGCGAAAAACGTGGGCAAATTGGTGACCAAATTGGAGCGACAGGCGGTCTTCTCCTCATTGGCCGCGTAGAGCAACAGCCTGACGGACGACTTGGTTGGTCGGCTCAGACTTGCGGACGACCCATTCATTGGGGGCTTCGACATCAGTGGACCCGTTCCCTGGGGGAAAAAATGGATTAGCTCAGGATAGCTCTCCCAACATCTCTGGATTCTCCAATGCCCCTCTCACTCCAAGATACCTGCCGCGGCACAAGGAGCATGCGCTGGTGCCACGCTCACCTTAGGCAAACCAGCTCACCGCTGCTTCTGGCGAGGTTGGGATGCCTGTTATGATTGGCACGTGCCACCAACACTCAGACTCAGGCTCACCAGCAGCTCCATGAAGCTTGGACTGCGACTGGGTCGGGTGACTGAACGATGAATTTCCTCCACAAACCGAAACTGAACAGGGATGCAACCATCCTGAGACATCACACATCAGACATATACACAGTAGGATAAAATAGCATGAAATAAGCTACAATAGAACACATGGGAGAAATGGAGAATACACCTCTACAGGGCGCATGTAGTAGATACTGTCGGCGTGCCAAGCTTAGAGAACGGGTTGTCTCGGCGTCACGTGCCAAGCTCTCGAAGATTCTCGAAGTGTGTCCGTCCTTTCTGGATCCACCATGCAGGACCGAAAAGAACGTCCCCAGGAACTCTTCCATCGTCAGAAACCTCTGACTCTGGACCACCATCCCTTCACCCCTGCGGTTGCCCGAAGATTCGGTCATGGGGCACTCGGTCTGTCTCCCGAGCCGGCCAGTATACTAGTGGATTCTGATGACTAGTAGAGGCAGGTCTCAAAAATAAGGATAACTATATACTGGTAATGGGCTAGACCCTATATAAGTAATGCATTACAATCATTCTAACACGTAGCAAAACATAACAAAACATATGAACAACTTCAGACAAATAAGCAAATATCCCAGACCGGATGCGTCTCAGATTGGAATTGTCTCTGAAATGAGATGACAGATGCAAAAGAAATGTGGTAGGCAGTAGGCGGGGATTGATCCATCAACAGCAGATCAATAAAATATGACGTCTAAGTCGACTCTGGCACATTCTGGCAAAAACCCGCCACGTGACTGGTGAAGCTTCCTTCCGGGCACCTCTCACATCTCTCCTGGCGGACCATGAGCCCAACACGACCCGTCTGGGACTGAACTAAAAAACTGTTTGGGACCTGTCTGGGACACGACCTGTTTTAGTGATTTCACATGGTCGCCATGTTCGGGTACCTGGGTACCGACGGGTCGCTTCTTCTCTCCGGCGCCAAGAAACCGAACGGACGAGTTCGCGGGGGGGGGGGCGGAGTGGGGCAAAGTTGGGAAGAAGCAGCTGCAAACCGCAGAGGTTCGATTTTCATACCTCTCAAAAAGTGAAAAATGACTCGACTTTTGGACATGAGATGACATGAGCATACCTTTGCGTTCAAATTACGTTCGCGTATTGCGTTCAAGATACGTGGCAAAGCAGCGAAAACCGTTCAACATCTATTTTATAGCCGAATGCTATTTGTAACCCAAGCATCTTCCCCAGATATATTGATTTCAATTTGGAGTAAGAAATGATCACTCAACTGGGGGGTACCAGGGATCGGCTTAGTCAGAGTCACCCAAAGAACAAATATCTTACGTTCTTGCAAAACAGCGTTTTCCGGTCGTTTGTGCCTGGTTGGAGTCCAAACTCGTGTAAAAGCCCGGTAGGCATGGCACGCACTCGGCCACCAGGAGCGCGTCGTCATACTCATATCCTGGTCGGCTGAGGCCACACGTCGTCTGGACGCGTCCATCCGGGGCGTGGGATGAGAAGAAAGCGGTGGTCATTGGGGTTCTCTTCTGTCTGGGTATGTTCATGTTCTCTTAATTTTCTGATTAGTTTTAGATAGTTTTAGATATATATCGGATTTCATACTGATGTCATGATCTTTTCGACAAACAAAGCTGGTGGGTGTCCAGGACTCCCATGTTCTGTGAGAGACAGACAGGCAGGGCGAAGGGAGGGGGAAGGGACCTGGAGACACGGTGCAGAACTGATTCATGTTGACTTAAACACCTTCAAACCAAAATGGTTGAGTTGATTCATCCATGTTGATTGAATACAGGGGTTCCAACCACATCGATCCTTACCCCCCCAGTCGCTCCAACGAAAAACTCGGTAGGTTCGCTCGTGGCCAGTCCCACAGTCTCCTGCAGGGCATAAGCCCAGTGAGCAATCCTTGCCATGAAAGAATGTGCTGCACGTGCATGTCCTTGGATCCAGGAAACCATGTCTGACTTGGGATCCTCCAAGCCAAACATCGCTTGGACACACACACACACACATGTACAAACACACACACACACGCAAACACTAAACATATACCTAGACCCTCACTAAGCCATTATCTTCAAAAGAGCAACTTCCGACAATTTTTGCACGCCGCAGGCTCCCTTGAGGGTCAAACATGCCGAGGCACCATCACATGCAGTCTTACCATACGTATGCACAACCAGAGGCTTCGGAAACGAACACTGGCCATCTCACGCTCATCCCCGGTAACAGGTAAAATGTCCACCACAAACAACAACACCTGAAACATTAATAACGTGTCATACTATACAAAGAGAAGCAGGAGTTCAGCATGAGTGAACTGCACATACAACTTTGTACTTCAAGCCCTGGTTCTGGATGCTCACATTTGTGTTTGGAGTCCCTGGAACCGGTAGTGGGTGGATTCTTACTCCTTCGAACGTTCCCCCAAAGGACAATGCCGGACAAGAATACCTCAGTACGGACAAGAACAGTACCTTTACCCGTGGGCAGAAATCATGGTTCAAGAAGTTCGACATCTGTGGATATTATTCCTGTGAGAGAAGATAGAAAGGAATTGTGGTGAAAGTCGCATCTGTTGGGCCTTCCCAGGCTTTTTTATACTGTACACTGTAGATCCAATGACTGAAAACAAAAAAATACTTTACTTCGAGTGATCCCCACCATGACATTTCAATCATTTGACTTGATGCCATAGTGAGGAGCATGTTGCCATGGTCGTGAGTATTGTAGTTCTCGATTTTGTTTGTGGGTCCTCGAGTTGTATGCTGCGGTTGTGTGTTGTGGTTGTGGTTGTGTGCTGTGTTGTGGTTGTGGTTGTGTTTGTGATTGTGTGTTTGTGGCTGTGTGTTTGTGATTGTGTGTTTGTGGATGTGTTTGCGGTTGTGTTTGTGGCTGTACGTTTGTGGTTGTGTCTTTGTGGTCGTGTTGTTGTGGTTGCGTGTTTGTGGTTGTGTGTTTGTGGTTGTGTTTGTGGTTGTGTTTGTGGTTGCGTGTTTGTGGTTGTGTGTTTGTGGACGTGTTTGTGGTTGTGTTTGTAGTTGTGTGTTTGTGGTTGTGTTTGTGGTTGTGTGTTTATTGTTGTGTCTTTGTGGTTGTGTGTTTGTTGTTATGTTTGTGGTTGTGTGTGTGGTTGTGTTTGTGGTTGTGTGCCGTGGTTGTGTTTCTGATTGTGTTTGCGGTTGTGTGTTGTGGTTGAGGTTGTGATTGTGCTTGTGATTGTGTATTTGTGATCGTGTGTTTCTGGTTGTGTTTGTGATTGTGTGTTTCTGGTTGTGTTTGTGGTTGTGTGTTTGTGGTTGTGTTGTTGTGGTTGTGTGTTTGTGGTTGTGTTTGTGGTTGTGTGCCTATTGTTGTGTGATTGTGGGTGTGCGTTTGTTGTTATGTGTGTGGTTATGGTTGTGGTTGTGTGTTTGTGGTTGTGTCTTTGTGGTTTTGTTGTTGTGGTTGTGTGTTTGTGGTTGAGTGTTTGTGGTTGTGTGTCTGTGGTTTTGTGTCGATTGTTGTGTCTTTGTGGGTGTGTGTTTGTTGTTATGTTTGTGGTTGTGTTTGTCGTTGTGTTTGTGGTTGTGGTTGTGGTTGCGTGTTTGTGGTTGTGTTTGTGGCTGTGTGCTTGTGGTTATGTGTTTGTATTTGTGTGTTTGTGGTTGTGTTTGTGGTTGTGAGCTTGTGGTTGTGTTTGTGGTTGTGTGTTTGAAGCATACTATCTGCCATTCAATCTGCCATTCTATCTGGCAATCTATCTGACATACTATCTGGCATGCTGTCTGGCATTCTATCTGGCATTTTGTCTGGCATTCTATCTAGCATATTTTCTGGCATTCTATCTGGCAATGTATCTAGCAATCTATCTGACACACTATTTGGCATACTATCTGGCATATCTTCTTGCAGCATTCTATCTGGCAATCTACTTGGCATTCTATCTGGCATTTTATCTGGCAAACTATCTGGTTGAGGTCCAGCGGTGCACACTGCGATCGGATCCTTGCGGTTGAGGTCCAGCTGTGCACACTGCGATCGGATCCTTGCGGTTGAGGTCCAGCAGTGCACACTGCGATCGGATCCTTGCGGTTGAGGTCCAGGGGTGCACA